TGCGATTCAAACTTGACTCCTAGTATCAATTGCACTTGCTCCCAAGTGTTCTGATTGGAACATGCATCATTCTTACAGGAGCATAATTTGAAGCTTACAAAGGATCAGGAGTTCTGGGTAGTTGGCATTATGGTTTTTGTCACTCTTGTGAAACTAGTTTTGGTGTTATATTGTCGATCCTTTACCAACGAGATTGTCAAAGCATATGCACAAGACCACTTTTTCGATGTCATTACCAACATCATCAGCCTGTTTGCTGTATTACTTGCCAACTATGTCCGTAGCTGGATGGACCCTGTTGGAGCCATCATTGTAAGTAAGGCGCACTTGCTTCTTCCTATTAGGCAGTGTTTGGGAGTTTCATTTTGAAAGCGATTGGTTATTAAGTTATTTATGACCACTCTCTTTAAATCTGCACCTGTACTCCCATTTTCATCAGTTTTTTTCTTCTTCTTAAATTTGTGGTGCAGCTGGCCTTATACACCATCCGAACATGGTCACTGATGGTGCTGGAGAATGTGAATTCCCTGGTTGGCAAGTCAGCCCCGCCGGAATATTTGCAGAAAGTGACATACCTATGTTGGAACCACCACAAATCCATAAGGCACATAGACACTGTCAGGGCATACACCTTTGGTTCGAGCTACTTTGTCGAAGTTGACATTGTCTTGCCTGCAAACATGACCTTGGAAGAGGCACATGACATTGGAGAGTCCTTACAAGAGAAACTCGAACAGTTGCCTGATATCGAGCGTGCCTTTGTCCATCTTGATTATGAGTTTAGCCACAAACCGGAGCACGCCCACGCCAATCTCTAGTGTAAAGAAATCCTTCAACCTTCTTCTAGCTACTTTCTTATATTAGCTCTCTCTCCCTAAGTCTATGTTTGTCAGGTTAAAGATCCCTTTTAGTAATTTCACTGTAGGATAAAAAATGTCTTGACCTCTGGAAATAACATTACAGTTGATGCAGTAATTAATGGGAAATTAGAAAGCTATTCGCCAACCCAGTCTTCAGAATGTACACATAAAGCTTCATTTATGGTGATTTTTAAGAAGAGAATTGAACTTATATGTTACTTTCAGATGTGTACTAATCCCTTTGATAAAAGTACTCTTGTATTACTTTGCCTGTCTCTTTTTATGGAAAACATGTGCTTCACAGTGTTTCTTGTACATAAATATCACCAACATTGTTCGTCCAATTTGAATTTTTGAAAAAGTCAAACTGAACAGTTACACTGGAACGGAGAGTGTATTATTATTATTATTATGCCTTATTACTTGATAATCACTAACTATATACTTGTAATATAAACCGGTTTGTCGTCACATCAAATATGAGGCTAATCAACTGGATTTACTGGATCCTGCTTCTGGTTTTAATGGATTGTCATTAGCATGTTTTTGCTCTCTCTCCAGCCTGGCGCCGCTGCCGGAAACTTTTTCGTCGAGCCAACTGATGATGTCAGAGAAGACAATGTCGAGATTTTCCGGCAACTCGCCGTAGGTAAGGGAATGCCACATTCCTGGGTACAACTTGAGGGTCTTGTCGGTGCTTGAAGCCGTTTCGTACAATAGTTTGCTCACCTTTGGGTCCGTTACTCTGTCTGCTTCTCCGTGTGCGACTATGAATGGTATTGTTACCTATTATATTGTCCCCGTAGTTACATAAAAGTGAAGTTAAATTAATCAGAGTAATTAAAAAAGAGTGCTTTTGTCATGGATTTAAACGTGCATGACGATAATGCTGACTTTTTCACATAAACGAAATAGGCATGAAATGATTCGAATAAATGTTTGTCGAAATATTGTTAAAATGTGTATGAAAATAAAAAGATT